TACTACTACTACTACTACCACTACTACTACTACTACTACTACTACTACTACTACTACTACTACTACTACTACTACTACTACTACTACTACTATACTACTACTACTTCTACTACTACTACTACTACTACTACTACTACTACTACTACTACTACTACTACTACTACTACTACGACTACTACTACGACTACTACTAGCACTACTAGCACTACTAGCACTACGACTACTACTACAACTACTGCTACTGCTAACACGACGACTACGATTACTAAAACTAATGCGACTACTACTACTACTACTACTACGACTACTACTACTACTACTACTACTACTACTACTACTACTACTACTACTACGACTACGACTACGACTGCGACTGCGACTGCGACTGCGACTACTACGACTACGACTACGACTACGGCTACGACTGCGGCTGCGACTGCGACTAGTACTACTATTCCTCCTACTACCACTACTCCGACTACTACTCCGACTACTACTACTACTACTACTACTACTACTACTACTACTACTACTATTACAAATACTGCAACTACGACCACTACTACTACTACTACTACTACTACTGCTACTACTACTACTGCTACTACTACTACTACTGCTACTACTACGATGACTACTACTACTACTACTACTACAACTACTACTACTCCACCGCTAATACTACTACTACTACTACAACTACTACTACTACTACGCTACTGCTACGGCGCTGCTACTGCTGCTACTACTACTACTACTCTACTACTACTACTACCCCACTACTACTACTACTACTCTACTACTACCACTTCTACTACTACTACTACTACTACTACTACTACTAACTACTACTACTACTACTACTATATCTCCAGGTCTGACCTCTGTTATTTTGGAGATGAACCTCGCGCTGGAGACTGCGCGTTTGCCCGCACCGGACTCTTCAGCACCCAATGTGCGCCGTGGCCTGAGGGGCAATAACTTGCAGGCTGAAGTCCGGGCGGGCACCCTCGGGAGTGAAAGCCCTCCCGTTCAAAAACAAAACAAACAAATAAAAAAGAAAAAAATCGATTGCGACAGCCTCTAAAGAAAAGAAGTAATAAAGAGGGACGAAGAGGACGCGCCTCTAGGGGGGGGCAGTTTAGCCGCGTGCCCAAGCGGCGCCTCGGCCAATGACGGCCTCGGGACCGCTGCTCGCCGCTGGGCGGGGGAACGACGTCCCCGCCCTAATCCCCTGCACCCGAGCCGCCGCCCAGAGGCGGCTGCTCGCCGGCAGAAGGCGCCCCGGCATCCCCAGACTGCTCCCCCGCGCCGGCGCCGCCGGCAGAGGGCGTCTCCACCGCCCCCCTGCGCCCGCCCCATCTACAGACGCCCCCGCGCTCTCGTCATCCCCGTAGTTCCTGCCACCCGTGGAGCTTGCGCAGCCCGCCTTGCCCCCAGAACCTTTCCCGCCGCGGGAATCACTCTGGAACGCAGAGTCGCCCGTCTCGGCCTTGCCTCCCGTCTGAGGCCCCCCCCCCTGCGCCGGCGCGATCTGGTCGATGGCCAGAAGTTGCGCTAGCGCCTGCAACTTCAGGCTGGCGAGGTTCGCATCCCATAGATCCTCAAGATCAGCCTTCGTGAAGCTCTGCCCCTCCGCCCTGGAAACAGAATCGCCCCCCGGAGCCGCGCGGCTCGGGGCCTCGATGCGGGGCCCTCGCCCCGCACCGTACTATTTTATCAGGACGAGGCTCGAGAGCTTCTCGCGCCGGGAGGGCTCGCCCAACCCGGACGAGAAGCTCGTGTCGCCAACGCCCTGGGATGCCACGAACCCCCCAAACTCCCGGCGAAACTTTGGGGGGCCCATGGCATCCCGCAGGCCGTCGATAAAAGGGCGACCAGCCTGCGCCGCGCGCTGAATTTTTTCAGGCGCACGTTTTCATCCCTCTCGGACCACTGAGCGCCCCGAAGCTCAGCGCCCATGCGCGGCATCGAGAAAAACGCGCCCGAGCCTGCGAATTACTGCACAAACAAAAACGCAAGGAAAATCAAAAACAAAAATTGGAAGTTGAATTCAAGCCGACGGAAATGCAAAAAGAGGGGAAATAGATAACCCACAAGGACGCGATCACAGGATCGCGCTGCCACGCAGGGTTGACCTCCTTCTGTTTGCCCCATTAATCTTGTGTAAGGAGTGCAAAGCCGCGGACGCGCCGCGCGCGTTTCGTATGTGTCGCATATGTTTCGTATACGTTTCGTGTATGTTCGTATATGTGTCGCAGATGTTTCGTAAATGTTTCGAATGCGTTTCGTGTATGTGTCCCATGCGTATCGTATACGTTTCGTATATGTGTTGGCATGTTCCGTATATGATTCGTATATGTGTCGTATATGGTTCGCATGTGTTTCGTATATGGTTCGTATATGGTTCGTAGATGGTTCGTATAAATTTCGCATATGTTTCGCATATGATTCGTACATGTTTCGTATATGTTCCGCATGTATTTGGCATGCGTTTCGCATGCGTTTCGTATACGTTCCGTAGGTGTGTTGCATACGTTTCGTAAACAAAAAATGCATACGTTTCGTATATGCTGCGTATATGTTTCGCATGTGTTTCGCATGCGTTTGGTATACTTTTCGTACACGTGTCGTATACGTTTCGTATATGCGTTGGCTACGGTTCGCATACGTTTCGTATATGTGTCGTAGATGCTTCGCATATGTTTCGCATACGTTTCGTATGCGGTTCGAATATGTTTCGTATATGTTTCGTATACGTTGCGCATGTGTGTCTTATATGTTTCGTTTATGTGCCGCATATGGTTCGCGTATGTTTCGTATATGTTTCGCATGTGTTTCGCATGTGCTTCGCATGCGCTTCGTATGTGTGTCGTATATGTTCCGTATACTTTCCGCATACGTTTCGAATATGTGTCGAGCATGCTTCGCATGCGTTTCGCATGGGTTCCGCATGCGTTTCACCTATGTTTCGTATCTGCTGTGCATATGGTTCGCGTATGTGTCGTGTATGTCTCGCATATGTTTCGAATATGTTTCGCATGCGTTTCGTAGACGTGTCGCGTATGTGTCTTGTGCGTTTCGCATGTGTTTCGTATCTGTTTCGCCTAGGTTTCGTATCTGGTTCGTATATGCTTCGTACATATGCCGTATATGTTTCGCATATGCGCCGTGCATGTTTCGCATGCGCTTCGCATGCGTTTCGTCTTTGTTTCGAAGATGTGCCGTGGATGTTTCGTAACAAGTGTCGTGGATGTTTCGTCTATGTTTCGTACATAGTTCGTATATGTTTCGTAAATGGTTCGGAAACGTTTCGCATATGGTTCGTGCATGTTTCGTATATGCTTCGCATATGTCTCGCATCTGCGCCGTATATGTTTCACATTCGTTCCGTATACGTGTCGCATGCGTTTCGCATGTGTTTCGCACGTGCGTCGCATCTGTTTCGCATATGCTCCGCATACGGTTCGCATATGCGTCGCGCACGTTTCGCACATGTTTCGCATGTGGTTCGCATATGGTTCGTATATGTGTCGAACATGTTTCGCATATGTATCCTATATGTTCGTCAATGTTTCGCATGCGTTTCATACATATGTCGCATCTGTTTCTCATGCGCGTCGTATCTGTTCCGCGTGCGTTTCGCATGCGTTTCGTATACGTTTCGTACATGTTCCGTATATGGGTCGCATATGCGTCGCATGCGTTTCGTATCTATTTCGTATATGTGTCGCGCATGCTTCTATATGAGTCGCGTGGTTCGTGTCTGTATATATATATATATACATATTCGATTCGCATACGTTTCGGGTGCGTTTCGTATATGCTTCGTATATGTTTCGCATGTGGTTCGCGTATGTTTCGCATGCGTTTCGCGCGCGCTTGGCATACGTTTCGCACACATGTCGAATACGTTTCACATACGTTTGGATGCGGTTCGTAAGCGTCTGGTCTACGTTTCGTGTACGTTGCATATATGTTTCGCATATGTTTCGCACATGTTTCGCACGCGCCAGGCGCGCCAGGCGCGCAAAGCGCGACAGGCGCGCCAAGTGAGCCAGGCGCGCCAGGCGCGCCAGGCGCGCCAGCGGCGCCAGGCGCGCCCTTGGGCAAACAGACGGAGGTCAACCCTACTACTACTACTACTACTACTACTACTACTACTACTACTACTAGCGCTACTACTACTAGCACTACTACTACTACTACTACTACTACTACTACTACTACTACGACACGACTACGACTACGACTACTACTACTACTACTACTACTACTACTACTACGACTACTACTACTACTACTAATACTAATACTACTACGACTACTACGACTACTACTACCACTACTACTACTACTACTACTACTACTACTACTACTACTACTACTACTACTGCTGCCGCTACTACTACTACTACTACTACTACTACTACTACTACTACTACTACTACTACTACTACTACTACTACTACTACTACTACTACTACTACTACGACTACTACTACTACGACTACTACGACTACTACTACTACTACTACTACTAACTAAAAAATCTAAAAAAAAAGAAAAAAAAAAAAAAAAAAAAAAAAAAACAAAAAAAGAAAACTAAAAAAAAAAAAAAACTAACTAATAAAAAAAATAAAAAAAGTAAAAAAAACTAAAACAGAAAAAAAAAAAAGACAACAAAAAAATAAAAAAAATCAAAAAAAAAACTAAAGAAAAAATCTTAAAAAACTAAAGAAAAAAAAAAAAAAAAAAAAAAAAAAAAAAAACAAAAAAAAAATAAAAAAAAAAAAACTAGAAAAATAAATAAAAAAACAAAAAAAACTAAAAAAAAAAAAAAAAAAAAATAAAACTAACTAAAAAAGTAAAAAAAAAAAGAAAAATAACAAAAAAAACAAAAACTAAAAAAAAAGAAAAAAAAAAAAAAAAAATAAGAAACGAAAAAATAAAAAAATAAAAAAGCGTCCCTCGAAATTCTCGTCGTCTCTCGGCGGCTG